GCAGCGCGTGTAGAGTATTTGAGGCGAGTTGGGCTTAGGTTGCTACCTATGCCATCAGAAAATTTTTTGCAGATTGCTCTTGTACCGATAGCTCCTCCTGATGCTGCGTTGTAGTGTAAACATAGAGCCCCCCCCCCCCCTCAAATTGACCAATTATAACATTTGACATTATATTACTGTTCCATAAATATGTCTGTCGGTGAAGGGACTAACCCAAAACTTCTTGCATACATCAAGTATGTTGCTGCTCGACCACTCACGCGGCGCAACAGCTCTGAAGCATGGATACAAATGCACACTTCGGCGGATGCTCTCCACTGCAATAACAGCACCAGTCTGCGTTCCATCAGCATTGGTCATAGGCGTCACCTTGTACATGCCATGCTGGGGATCTGGCTGCGTGAAGTTGGAGAACCACTCCACATATGCGAGATATTCTGGAGGGTCTACAAAGGGAAGTAGGATTCTTCGATAGCGTATAGGAATGGTGAATATTGCCCGAACACGGCAGACCTGATAGCCTACGGTTGGGATCTTGTTAGCCAATATGTGTAGTACTTCAAGGTGTAGCAACATACCCTTAACGCCAATAGCACTTCCTGTACCCAGATTTACAATAGCCGTGTCAAAACGGCCAGCAACTTGCTGGCCGCGCTTATTCAGTCGTCCACCTGGGGTTGCGTAAATGGCATCGTACTCATCTGATGCCTGCCGATAGAGGAGAAAGTCGCTCTCCCAAAATTTAGCCTTGTGGTAAACCGGCAGTTTATGGAACGGTAAACGAAGAGTAGTGGCGAGACGAACAACTTCTGCACTGGAAGCATCCGGGTAATTGAGACGTACGATGTACTTTGCAATTGCTCGCATGATGTATTTGGCACCATACACCTGTTCGAGACGATCCAGCGATACGGCCTTGACTGATGGCTCCCGTGTCATGAGAACATGGCTGGCTTGGTGCTTGTGCAAGACGTTTGCTAGCTTGAGCGATGGCTGGCCGTTCTTGAGCCATTTGATGTACCGATCATGCCGGAGAACCTTCTCCTTACGCTCGAGCCATACTGTCATCTGCTCGTACTAGTCTTTCTTGTTCGTAGAGCGGTAGGCGTCCTTTGCGAGGTCAATGTGGAGGCGTTCAGTGTATTCCGTGTTGAGGTTTGGAGTTGTTCCGAGCATCTCAATACCTTCGTGATAGTGCCGCATCGAGTGGACCTTCGGAAGATTAAAATTGCCTCGGATGTCAAGATCTATAAACACCTGTTTGTTCTCATGAAACCGCCGCAGGGCGTCATCAAGGGCATCAAGGGACTGGTGGCTATGCACCGGGTACTGTGCAAGGTAGACAAAGTCGAGGATTGCCTGGACAGCGCGGACAAGACGTAGGTGGGACATGCCATTTGGAAGGCGCAGATCAATTACAAGGCCCAGCAAAATGCAGCAGATGTCGGCGTGCTCCCGACCTGTGAGCTGTGACAGCTTGGTGATGCCTTTGTAGAACAGGCGCATGTTGTGGTTTGGTGGAAACCGTTGGCACCGGGCATCGATCTCGTCCTCTGAATATGCCTCCTTGGCCCAGGCGACAAGATGCTTTACGACACCCTGTAGGAGTTGATGTAGGATGTCCAGGGTGACGGACGTGTAGACATCGGAGTATGGGAGGTTCTGCCAAAATGTTTCATACACAGGCTTGATTCCTGCATTGCGGCACGCTGCCTTGTACTCGGTGGGCGTTACATTGGGATCTGATCCCATGGCAAGAACGTCAAGGACAGGATTCAGCTCACGCCGTGGTAGCGGAAGGGGGAAGTGGCAATCGAGTTCGCCAAGCTCTGCCTTTGGCGTAGGACATACAGGGCATTCGCCAGTCTTTGTACAGGTTACGAGCACCTGTTCAGGGTAATCACCAACATATGCCGCATAAATTGGATGGACACGCCGCATCACGCCATCTCCAGAGGACATCGGCAGGCCACCCAGGCCAAGGTCCTCAAGCAGCTCGAGAAGCCGGCGCATGCAGAGATAGAATAAATTTGCTTGTGTGCAGCGCCTAGCTGCTTTGTTCTTGATGTGCTCGAGCTTCAATACTGGCAGGTATGCCAGGAGAATCTGCCCTCCCTGCGATGGCCTGCTCCGAATATCTTTAGGCAAGTTCCCAATGGTGAGATACACAGGATATGCCGCCTTGTTACGGAAGAGGGTAAGTTGCATTTTGTCAGACGAGATGATGACTGGCATAATTGTGGCGCCCTTCGTCCGAGCTTCAATTGCATCCTGCACATACGAATATAAGCACAACAGCTCACAAAACAGCATCAGCTGATGACGCACCTGGGCAGCCCACCACCATCGACCAGTGTGCATCTCATGGAACAGCCGCAGCGTTTTGTCCGGATCAGCATAGTGGCGTTCGGGAAGAAATACGAG